TTTCTTAGTTTAATGTTTCATTCATTTTAAAGTGTATGGGGTATCATTGTATGTATAGTTTATACCTTGAGGTAATTGAGTAGTAAGTGGTGACGAAATTGTTACAAAATTATGATTTTTAGACCCATAACTTAAAGGCAATTGCTTTCCTTTACTAAGATCATCTACATTTCCAAAACATTGATTCATACATTCTTCAGGTGTAAAACCTCTGAATAATAAAACTCCTATAAAAGTCTAATTGTTCAATATTTRTATTTTGAAAATTAATTATTATTTCATAAATGGATGAACACAATTAAGTATACGTACCGACTTCTCTGTATTGCGAATAAATAAGATCATTGACATGTAATCCTGCTGCACTACCAATTTGTGCGGCTTCTTCTCCTTCATTTGTCATATAAAACGATATTCTACCTTGCCTTTGAGATTCATACAACATTTTATCCATTATTGACAGCAAAACCATTGATTTGTACATTCTAACCAACTCATTATTTTCTGGTATCTGTAGTTRAATATTGCGGGTATTAAGTACCTACGATAAGTAATTATTATTTCATATTTTACTTACAATTATAGATTTACTATTGTTTAAMATATCCCCAGTACCATTCAAAATTCTAAAAATAGGTACAGGGTTATTTAATGATGGTTCATTTATATCTAGACTAGATGTAAAGTTAACTTTATTGATTCYCGGTAATTCAGATTCCATATTCATGTTAGCTGATATTGTACTTCTTCGCATATATTGTTTCTACAACACATTTAGACCAAAATAAATTAATAATTAATTCTAAATAACTTTAAGCAAATCCAATCCTATTAGTATATAATATAGTATAATGATACATTTCATGAATAACTATATATTCTCATTTCAATCATTCAGAAATGATGAACAAGTATGTGAAATATTGATGATTCCAATATTTTAAAAACTGAATTAGTTTATTTTAGTTTTTTATAACAAACACTGATATGAAACCATTTTGAAAAANGAAATATTCAAATAAGTGAAACTTTAACTTCTAAATGCTTATAAAAATGTCTACATATTTATTTTTTTAATTGCTAATTCCTATAATTATTATAAAGAACCTTTTATATTTTTTAAAATRTGTAAAAGGTAGGTTATGTATAACATATTATATTAGGTACTAATAATTCGAAGAGCCTAATAATTATTGAAATTTTTTCGTGCCTATAAATAGCAAATAGATCAAAAATAATCAATATATTTTGAAAATTATAAGGTGTATATGGAAAATGTTTATCTGTTTAAACCAATGGTGAAATTTTCACGTTTCTACCATTATTTTTTTGTATTATACCTATCAAAAAACCAAATCAATATTTTTCATAAACTGGATACGTACGATATAATCTAAATTAACCCTTACAGAAAAGAAGCTGAAGTAGAAAATCAAATCACTGTTACCACCCTAGACCCCTATACGAAATGCCATACGCAAAAATACACATTGGAAAATCAATACATTTATCGCTCCGCTCAGAATCTAATCATGTACCATAAATGTAGGTACCTAAACCTAATACCTATTATTAATTGCTAATATCATAAATTAATATGGAAATCCGATTTAAGATATAAGTATATAAATATATAATCAAATATGTGTATTAAATACTTACACTAGATTATTAGGAATTTCACGATACACATCATTAAACATCTCTCTCCAATTMGGTTTATTTTTTTTTGATGCAATTGTAAATGACTGCATCAACTAAATTAAATAAATACAAATACACAAGTATAATTTCCACAAAAATTGTTAAAATATATTTACTTGTTTTTTAGTTTCATTTGCATATTCAACTTCATTTCGATCATTCCAAAGATTATTTTTCTCGAGTAATTGCTTTAATCTTGTAATTGGGTTGTTGTAGTTAGACCATTGTTTAATCTCGT